TTCAGGTCAAAAACCTTTCGTACCGTCACCGTATTTGTCGTCATCACTTAAGTAATTTGGTTACTGTGCAAGTTTTAAATAGAATTCAACACAGTTAACTTTTGTTTTTTAAATTAAGACTTTCCATAAATTGGATCTGTCTGACCTATCATTTAAAACAGCAATTTACCTATAATAAAAGCACAAACGTCCCCTTGAAGGAAACCTTTTAAAACTAATAAACTAAATGAAAGTGGGAGTATTATTTTCAAGAAAAGTACTTTGAGGAAGAGTAAATAAGGCTGCAGAAGACCCTGGACAGAGCTGTGTGACATCATCATCGAAGCAGATTCTTTTCTAATGACTTCGACTTAAGGCAGAGCCAAACTTACAGTACTGGTTTTATCTGTCTTGCCTAAAAAGATTGACCACTGCGCCTTTCTGTGCTTTTAGGAAATCCGACAAGGGATACATGTAGCGAGAGGGAAGAGTCGAGAAGAGCAGCAGCCAACTTCAACTATCCTGAGCAAGCCTCAAACCACTGAAGTTACAACTGAAAAGTTGTCGAACCCTCCCTTTTTTTTAAGTCCTTCTTGTTTTATTCAAGTCAAAGTCAATTGCTTTTTATAGCCTGTATCTCTTGCTCTCTATAGTAGTCCCTGTAAAAAGTCATCTGTGCTTTATTCCGCCTCAGATCCTTCAAAACTGCCCCCCTTTCCATAAATAATTACTCCCAGGAGACCCTCTAAAGGCTTGGAGTTTGGATTTTTTTTTCTTTCCATGGCGGAGGGAGGCCATATGTGGTTCGTCTCTTGTCACATCATTTACAGCAGACTTCTACTCCCACACCCAACCCCCTCCACAGAAATCTGTGCTTAGAAATGGAAATGTAAACAAAACAAAAAAAAGGTTGTCTTGAAGGAAAGAGGTAAAGTGACACATGCTTACCAAGCACCACGGTAGTTTTTTAGCTGTGAAAATGTGTGGCAGAGTTTGATACTTGAGCAAATATTGTGACAATTCGGAGAAGCTCGTGTAATTATTGACTCTAGTAGAAGTTTAATAAAACATATGCCGCATTTAAATTACTATAAAATCAACAACAATTTTTTTTTTGTTGTTGTTGCAAGCGGATTATAAGTCAGATTCAACATTAAATCACCTAATTAACAATAACACTTGTGGCTGCTCCAGACCGCACACACTTGACAGGAAGCTACTCTAAATGTGTCGGCACAAGCTCAAAATGAACTATAAACACCAGCGACGTCGAGCAGGAAGACGCTGATCCGAGGCTGTAAACATCCTGTTGTTGCGATCGACTCCCTCTGCGTTCGCGGCTCAGAAACGAATCTGATCCAAATTATCGACAAAGAAATTCCAGACTGAAGCTGGATCTGAAAAGGCGTCTCTTGCAGAAACACTCACCTTCACATTTCGGATCCGGACTAGTTTATCGTCCACCTGAACGGCTAGCTTTCCTCCGTCGGCACTCTCCCTGTGGACGAGACGAAACCGTAAACGATTGGAGGCAATTTAGGTGCGATGAATGCTGACCAAAGTGGAAAGATTGATTAGAATGGAGAGAAAATGAAGCCAGACCATTAACTATTACCCCTTTTTGTCAAATTAGAACTAGAAGTTGGATATGTCCCTTCATCTAGCTACAATCTAGATGAAGGGACAAGAACATCTCCCCGTGGGCTCATACTTTATCATTACCAGATTTACTATTTTTAAATCAGTTTAAATTTCTCCTTTTCTTTTAACTGAGATTCCCATAACAGAGAGGGTGCCCAGATACATTTAGGCGAGTTCCCCCTCACTTAGGTCGTCACATGACAGCAAACACAATGAATCTTTTTGTGTGTGTGATCCATGAAATCGCCAAACAAGAGTCCGACTGACCAGTCTCAAATTCGAATGAAAACAGACCCCCGTGCTCTTCAGAGACTTTCACTGGCGAGGCAGCTTTGAGACGTTTCCACAAAGTTAAAGAAACACACTCTGAACCAGTGCGTGTGTGTATCATCCCAGCTGTGTGTGCTTCAGCAGCTGGACTGATGCAACACAAAGGAAACCAAATGCAATACGAAGCTGAGAGAACTTGTATCTCTAGGAGCGATGATGGCTGCGGAGCAAACACGCCGTTGTCGGTCATTCGGTCCGTCGGGGTGGGGGAGGTCGGGTCAAACCAGGAGGTAGTTTTCTCCTTGTGCTTCAGCACGTGGAACTCATTTTGCTAACTCCAACAGAGGCCCAACCCAAAACCGCCAACCTTGAATGTCAGGCTCAAAACAGCGTGGAGGGGAAGAACTCTGAGTGGAAAACATTAAACTGTAAAAAGAAAAGAAAGAAAGAAAAAAAAACGTCTGCTTTGATACGAACGAGAAATCAAGTTTTTCGTGGATGCGAGATCGATGCTGCCCGTATTCCCAGGGGGGCATCCACTGCTTCCTACTGGTCAGCTAAAGCAATGAGTAACACACTTGTGAATGAGAAATGTAGCTAAAGGCTGGTGGTAGTGGCAAAAATATAAAAGGAAGGATACACATCCTTTACTTCACAAACAGAGCAGGGAACAGTGAGAACCTCACAATCATACAGTAACTCAGGAAGGACAGATTTGCATTATAGAGCACTGCACATTTGTTATAGATCATCCCTTTGTTATGCAAAGTGGGAGGATGACCAACTCAAACAATTATTCACCCTGTCTTTCTGTGCAGGATTAATGCTTTGTTATGGAACGGTAGTAGCCTGCAGCCGGAGCAATCCTGCAAGAGTTCAAAGAAACTCCATGCATTGCTGAGAAACCATTTTATTCAACATCCTGCACCAATATTCCTGATAAGGTCAAAGAAGGTCCAAAGGAGAGCAAAGCCACTTCACAGCCTCAGACATTTTTTGCTGTATAATTCAAACCTAATAAAAAAAAATCTATTGATTGATACAGCATAGAAAACTTTAGGCCTTAGTTTAACTGAGACCTCAACTGGACGAATTTTAAGTTCTACTACACACCAAAAACTTTATTTTTTAAGTGTTGTTTTTTTCTTTTCATAGTTCAAGGGGGCCCTAACATTTTTTATACAAAAAAATTTATTCTTTATCTAGATATAACTATTAAGTATTTTGATAAAAGTAAGAATGACATTTTTGCTCAAACAAATAAGAAGCTATGCGTGAACCCTCCACCTGGTGGCCATTTTGCCCATATTAAAAACAGCTAAAGTCAATATAAAAATCAATTATCTTTGAAGCTAATTGATTTTCACACTGATACCGTTTAAAGTATACAATTTATTAACCTTAAAGTCCTAATATTTCTACTCAGAAACATACTTATTCAACACAATGAGTGAATTCATTCACTGACAGCCACGGTAATTACTCGGCATCTGTACCACCAACTGACCAGCTAGCTTAACAGTTGTTCACGTAAGTGACGCACAAAAAAAGTATGGCAGGACTAATGATACATAATATGAGGAATGTTCCACATCTGACAAAATTCCCATCTCTGACAGCACTCACTACACCTAGTCACAAAGAGGAAGAAGAAAACCACAGCAGTCTAGAAAAGGCTAATTTATCTGGCGTAGGTGATTTAAATATTAATAAATGAGCTAACCTACCTGGCATTAAGAGGACGGACCCGTACAGCTACTTTAACGTTTGCCATGATGCAGCCGCCTTGGTTCAACACAGCTCAGCAGCTGACTGGGACGGAGTGGGCAAAAACTAGCGGACCTCCCGTCACCATACTGAGTTTTGTGGAAATATGAATTTGAGAAAAGCGGTAGAGCGGGGGAAAAAAAGCCAGGAAATCCACAGCTCAAGCCATCCTGTTGAATTGCTGTCCCGCTGTAGGTCGAACCGCCCGCCGCGTCTCACCAAAACTCTCCACGGAGAACTGAAACTTCCTCCTGGACAGACATGGAAGGGGAGGGACGAGATGCTGCTGAACACCCCTCCCTCTAAGCCATATTTAAGTCTGCATGAGATGTCTGTTAGGATTTGAATACCAGCTGTTTTGCGGTTTTTTTGGACAGTATATCTGGCGGAATTATAGTTATTTGTGAAAAACTAAGCTACTGTGTGTGTGTGTCTCTCCTTCTCTAATATTTGACATACCAATTGCATTTACTTATCCTGCTTTACATTTCCAGGGTTCTGTCCTCTTTTTTAAAATAACTTAAAAGTATAAATACAAGAATTCACAATGAATTTATTCAAAGAAAGGAAAACAGATGAGTGGATGGAGAATGGATGGACAGATGACAGAAATTGATGGATGGTTTCATAAATGGATAGATTGAAGCCAGAAAACGCCAATATTTTCTCATAACCCATTTTCCTTTTCCCATATCTCTAAAATGCTTAAATCAAATCCCACACTACTCCAGTCTGTGTGTAAGCTCAGCAGTTATGAAACTTTATTTTTTTTATTCCCGATCTGACTGAAAGCAAAAAGAAAGCATAGACACCTAATTACAGCTGCTGCACACTGGAATACATCTTTATTCATATTTTTTTTCCATTCTGTGCCAACATTAAACCTTTCAGTTTAAAAGATTCTCGGAATACATCGCCGGCCGTTCAACATGAACAATAGCAATCACAAACGCGGGGTAAATGCATTCATGAAATTAACTTGTAACCACTAGTTATGTGGTCAAAGGCAATACGTGAAAGTGCTAGGCTACTTACTGTCTCAAACTGCATTTGCATTTAAAAACCTGTAATATTTGTACTTTTCAGCTTGACCTGATATCCTTCAGATTTCTTTTTTTTTAAACAATCATCTAAGTTGCAAAACTCTTTTGTGTGATAAAATAATCATCTTTGTTTACCATTACTATTCTTGGTCTAGTATTAGTCCCAAAGACATAAAAGTCCGATTAAGCTTCATCTGATGGTGTCCTTCTAAAATTTTAAATGGAAAAATTGCGCGTTTCATCAAAACTGGCATTAACTCACAGGGATTTCTGTTTGTTACTTGAATCTTCGCATATAATTTCATAAGGTCATATGTTAAAAGGCTAAAGTGGAAACAAAAAAAAAAAAAATTACGGTCTTGGAGAAAACATGCACGGACTTGGCATAAGACACTGTGGTGAAAACATACAAGTTGTTTGTGGAATATACTGCGTGTTATTGTTGTCAGGTTGCTCCCTCTATTGTCTGGTGCGAGACCTGCAGCATGTCTAAGCACGATTGCATCTCGGCAAGAGGGAGCGAGAGCTTTATGCTCTGCGACTGCAGCTGGAAGTTCTCGATCAGCTCCTGAAACGAAGCAGGAGAGAGAGAGACAAGTGATGAAGAAATGCGTAAATTGGTCAAAAAGGTCAAAATCTATAGGAAAGAAAGGCTTCCAAAGGAATCTTTGATTAAAAAACAAAATAGAACAATGAACTCTCACCGCTGGCAAGGTCAGGTCTGTTAGCTTCCTCCAATACGATTTGACTTCTTCCTCGTTCAATATTCCTTTGTCGACCAGCTTTCTAACGAGGAACAGGTAGTTCTTCTTCTAAAATGACAAATAAAGTGCATTTGCCACTTCCAATTAACAAACCTCCAAAAAATACAACTAAAAAATCTAAGGCAGATGTGATAAATCACACAAATTACTGGAATATACTGGAAAATCTGTGATAGAGTTTGGGACAGGGATTTATAATGAAAATTTGACAACGATCCAATATTTAATTAAAGCACCTTCATTCATTAGAGCAAAAAAGAAAATAATAATAATAAAGGAAAACTTAATTGAATTTAAAATCGGCAAGTAAGAAAGCAAGCTTGTGTCCCCATATGATCTGACCACATTGAGAATACGCTGTGGACATTCAGTTGATGGATGCGAATCAACATTATCCCAACTGGACGTTCGAAGAGTTCCACATCTATTTAAAAGAATATGTTCGAATGTAAGTATAGAGGACACACTCAGCTTCTTGAAAAGGTTTCATTGATTAAACCTGAGCAAAACACTCTTATGCTAAGAGCTTAACCTCTCTACGTTATAAGAACTCTCTAAAGGCAATATAAATATTTTAACAGAGCCAAATGTTACACTCTGAAACAGCTTTAAAAAAAAAAAAAAAGCTATGAATCTGCAGCGTTTAAATCAGTGTCTAACATACCTCTGTGTCGCTGGCCTTTAGCACAGCGGCCACTGTGAGCGGGGTGAAGAGCTGATGGAGCGGGGCAGAGGAGCAGCAGCCCCTCTCCCACAGCTCAGCAAGCTGCACCAGAACGTCTGACACCGAGGGCTCCGACCCGGCGCCGGGATCCACAGCAACCCCGCCACGCCGTGACGAAGAACGCACCGGCAGCTCTCCAGACACTAAGCGCACACAAACGGCAGCAAACGCAGAAATATGTTACGCAGTGCAGATTATGCCTCCACGATAAAGCCCCCTTTGGTTACTGCTTCAACTCTCTCACCCAGTTTGCAGGCGAGCAGCACGGTACAGTTCTGAAGCATCTGCTCCGACACGGCCGTTAGGAACTGAGTCGAGAAAAGCGGAAAGAAAAACATAAAAAAAAAAAAACGAGTGAGGGTCTTCGTACAGCACGGTTGTTTTGGTTACACGTTTGTTTCTCCTCTCCTCTACCTTTCTGCACTCTAATGTGTTCGCCACTCTTTGAAGAAGTGTTGTGAGCTGCGGGCCGGTCGGCAGCTCCTCGTCCGCTCTGGGTCCCGCCGCGACGCTCAGCATCTCCTGAATCGGGAACAAGCTCCGGGTGACTGCCGGATCATCATTTTTACATCAGAGTCAAAGAAGCCGCTCACACAACGGGTCTTTATAAAGATAAAGAGGTCAGAATTTGGTGACGTTTCAAGGTTTAAAGCAAGTAATCAGTCGGTGTTTTAGGGAAGTATTTTAGTTATCAATTAATTGATGAACCTACCGATTATTCTGATGATTAATCAATAAAGAAAATGTCACTTTCTGCAAATATTCTATCTACTTTTAATGCAATATTAAAAATACATTAAAAAATGCAAATAATTCAGAAATTTTTTATTGCCTAAAATGGAACAACATAGCATACTTCCAGTGTACTCCCCATCATTTGTCTCAAAACATGAATCTGCAGCAAAAACAGAACATTTTTAACAATACTTTTATGCTAATATGTATATTTTGGATTACCGATTACTAATTGAACAGCAAAACATGTATAATACGAAACTTTACTTTTATTTTTTATTACATAATTCAAACTGGTTAAAGTTAAAACTGCAGCACTTAAGGAGTTTTGGGTAGAACACATTTACAGACAGGTTTTTTTTTTATCTTAGATGCTAAATGTATATACTTTTGTACAATTTTGGCTTAATTACTGCTCTGAACATGTTCTTTCAGCAATTTTCTTTTCTTTTTTTTAATCTGTATACTCCAGTTAATGATTAATTAATTACAAAATCAGTTGACGATTATTTCAATAAATGATTCATCACTATTAATTCGATTAATAGTCGCATCAGCTCTAAGTTATTTCCAAATTTAAAGTGACTTGATCCGCCACGTGAAATCCCAACAAAACACAAAGTTAGTTGTCGTATCATGACAAAAGGAACAAATTTGCGTCTCGGGGTGTAAAAACCTTTGAGAAGCCGACGAGAATCGTCATGCGGAAAGACAAAAGATGCACCTTAATCTCGATGAGGACGTCTGAGGGGAGGGAAGCGTTGTGTTTACAAAGCGGAGGGCAGGACATCGCTCTCTCTTGTTTCTTCCTGGGAGTATTCATCTGGCCCTGCCTGACCAGCTCAACCACAGCGCTGTCCGCGTCCACAGCCAATGGACCGCAAAGAGCCTTTTTCACGCGGTCATACCTGCTCTTCCACTCCCGCCTGATCAGTGCTTTAAAAAGAAAAAAGGAAAAAAAAAAAACGAGGGCAGGGTTGGATTTTAATTAGGAAATCCAACCAGTTTTGATGTAAAATAGATGCCCAGAGATTTTACTAATTTAAAAAAAAAAAATGATAAAAGTGGATGTGAAGACAGATACGCGGAACGCTACAATCTGAAGCAATTCGCACTCAATTTTAACTGAGCCATTACCTGTAATGTTGGCAGAAAGCCAGCTGCAGGCTTTCTCGGCAGCCAGGCGTTTGGTGATGTTTTCGGACGTAGTCAGGACCTGTCAATGTTCGGATGTTCACAAATATTGAAAACTACCACAATAAATGTTCATCCATCCATGTGAATAAAGCATGCTGCGTGCTATTTCACTTTTTTTTTCTTTTTTTTTCCATTTTCACAATTTGGAGAAGAAAAAAAAATAAAAATGTCAGCAATTACCGGTGGCGTGGTTTCAACAGGGAGGAGTATACGTATGGCGTCGGGGCTCTTCTCATCGCAAAATCTGTTTTTAAAAAAACAAAACAAAAATGGAAACCCATAACCACAAATGCATGATGCCAGCGATGCGACACAAAATACTGAAGTTGAGCTCCAGAGTCCTGTTTTTGCAACAGTTGGTGGTGTGGAAATAAAAAGATGAAATGAAACCAAAGCTCATATTTGCATCCTTTAACTGAAGCGAATTGCTTTCAGAGAAGTTGCAAAGGATAAAAATATCCTCACTTTTTTCAGACAGAAATAAAATAAAATAACAAACTGTATGCTTCCTTAACACTGTTGAAAAGATAAGATAGAGACTAGTTTCTGGCCGGTACTAGTCGTGACGTACCAATAACAAAAGCTAAATATTAACAATAACTCAATGAAAACACAGTTTAAGGCTCTGCCGACTTATAGTTTTATAGTTTACATCACAAAAACCTGCCACTTTAACAAGAGTTTTAACACTAATTACAGAAAAACGATCAAGCATCAGCGTCCAGCCCCACTCAGTAAAACACGCCGCTGTACCTGGTGGCTTTTGCAAGAGCTTCCAAGCCAACGTCACACAGCTGAGCACATATGGAGTCGTTGAGCTTAGAAGAATTTGCGTTTGACGACTGCAGTCCGTCTCTCAGCAAATTCTCTCCTCTCTGAACCAACTCTTGCACTAATGTAGCCCTGTGAAACATTAACAAAATACAGGAAAAAGACGATTTTTTTTAAATTATTTTTTTTAAATCTACAGTTAAATTAGGGAACACGTTTAGAAACGAGGGCAGCCTGTAAGTGCCGGTGATGTTAGAGACCGATGAGCGTTCTTTAGCCTCCTAGGTAGGCAACAAACCACCTTCACGGGTCGATTAATCGCTAAATTCAGTCGATCCCGATTTGAAATGACGATGATGATGTGCCAGAGGACGTGTCAGAGCAAAATAAAGGATCATCAAAGCTAAACTGACTCTGGCATTGAACGACTTCACTGATATTGAATATCTATCGGACCAGTAATACTAACTTTATGTGCTTGACAGCGTTGGATCCGACCCTCTCGGCCACAAACTCCACTGTGCGGCGCAGCGACGGAGGCTGGTTGTGGAAGAAGGCCTGCTCCAGGTCCACCTGTCACATCCAGGCATTTCGTTCAAACACTCAGAAGCAAATTCGTGCTTTTTCTTATTTCTTTTTTTTTTTTTTAAATGTGCATGCACAGAATCTCCTTTGCAGCTGATTCACCTGCAGTTTCTGCTGCGATCGGTTGGCGGTCGGCGTGCCCTTGAGCTCGGCAGAAGTGGGGGTAATCTTGCGGATAATTCCTCCGCTCTTGGCCGCGCTGCCCGACACGAAAGCTGCCAGGAGCTTACGAAACTCACCTGAACAGGCAGAAACAAGGCAGAACATTAATCCACTCCTGTAACGTTGGGATGTTACGCTCCCTCGGCTCACTTCAGGACCAAATTCAACTCCAAATTCCTCTTTATTCTATTAAAAGTTGCTGCTGTGAAATATAAAGTAGCTTGAGAAAATGAGGGGAGCTGTTCCAAATTATGTCATAACTTAGAACCGAATGAAGGAGAAAACCTGCAGCTTCTTGTTTGATTTCACTGAATTTTACTTTGGGGTATCACAGTAAAAAGGGTTCGAATACAAATAGCTTATTTGCATGAATGCTCTATTAAGAGTGACTTGTACACTTGCACTTACCAAGAAATGGACAACATGTATAAAGAAGTTGCTGATCGACCAGCGGAATGCAGTCCTGTTAAATAAAATTAAAAGTAGCCATTTAAACACGACTGTGAACTTTTGTTGTTGTTGTTGTTATATTGGATAAAAGCTGAATTAAATTTCTCCTCACAAGTCCAGCAGAACCTGTAGCGCTGCCCTCGTCCTTGACTAGCGCAGTAAACTCACTGGTGAAGAAAATGTCCTCAGGAATCACTGGGATCTACACAAGTTAGAGGTGAAAGTTTAACCGAGTTATTCAGCAGGAAAAAAGAGAAGAGAAAGAAGAAAATTGCAAAAAAAGAAATAAACTTGTGCAGGGAAAGGATATATACTTTTCAACCATTAATAACTCCAGAGCCATGTGTGCTAAGACTGGTGTAAGGAATGTATGAATATATTATTAATCGTCTTTTATGTAGTTTTCAAGGGAGTCTTACACATTCCTCTTTTGGTTTTTCTTAATTTTTAAAGCTAGAAAACAAGAATAAAATTGTTTTTCTTTCATCTATGATTTTTTTTTAAGTTAATTTGTTTCATGTAGCTTTTTTAGCTCTCATGGTTGTAAAGGCAAACTGATGGAGAATAAGTCTGAGCACACCGACAATATTTACCTGCACCGTTTTCTCTTTGCACAGTTATCTAAATCTGGAACACACCTAAAACCGAATTTCATGCCGTTCCAGATTACGTGGAAACCTTTCGGAATGACAAACGTGCTCTTTTGTGGTGAAGCACATTGCAGCTCACCTGGAAGAGCCATCCCAACACCGACACCAGCAGCAGCTTGTTTAGGTAACACATTTCTTCGTGTCGGTTCAGCTGCAGCCGCCTACAAGCGGGGAAAAAAAAAAAAAAAAAGAATTCAAGTTTTCAGTTTCAATTTTTTTCCAGACTTAATTTTTTTTTAGATTTTAATAATATTAGGCATTATTATATGTCATGAAGCAACACATAACCGTGCTGAAGATGACTTCCAGTTCAGCAGTGAGGTGAAGGATTATTTCAAAGCTTATTTTTGGCATCTGGAACCACTGAGAACATCTGTATGTCAAAATCGGACACGTTTACAGCAGTAAAATCCAGAGTGGATTATCCTCAACTAGATTCAGTGTGTTCAAATTAAAGCTTGTGATCTGTGATGCTTTTATTAGGAGCGAAGCAGAATGTCACGTGACAACTGCTATCTAAATCAGGCCCAGTTTACGAGTCACAAGTCCCTTTTAACAAGCCTGACCTAAGGGTTGGATAACAAATATTCACCCTTTTTTAAAATGATTTAATGATAAAAGAAAATCTGTGGGTTCTGTTAAAAACTAGAAAACCAAAACAACCACTTATGATGCCATTTTGATATAAAGAAACTCACTATTTTCAGAAATTCTGATTATTTTTCTGCAAATAATGGGGGAAAAAGAGTAAAGACTTAAAACTCAAATTTGTATT